GCAAACTGGTCTGATTTGCTCTGCTAGGAGCCCAGAGGCAGGTTTCTCCTCGTGACAGACCACAGCCCCAGGTCTCGAGTAGCGAAGCAGATGCCCAGCAGCACCTTCAGGCTGCAGCGCGGGCGAGCTGGTGACCACAGGGCTTCGCCAGTTGGCTGCACCCATTTGACAAGAGCCCGCTGAAGAAAATACTACTACAGCAGTCATTTGGGGTGGTAAACCACAGATATCCCAAGCTCCCAGCGATGATTCAGGATGAAAGCCCACTTTGAAACCCTGGAATTGCCCCTGGGAGGGCGACGCGGCGCGGCGACGGCCTGCGAGGAGCCGGGGAGGAGAACCCGCGCTCCCGAAGCGGGAGGGAGCCGGCGCGGCGCAGCATCGCCCTTCTCCAGCCCCGGGCTCGGGGGCTGTGGCGCCAGCCAGACCCTTATTTCCTACAACCATGCAATTTTGTGTAATAATGAAAAAAAAACCAGAGGTTGCTGGGATTTCTAAGTTTTCACATTTTCTTCCCACTTTGCTGCCCGAATTTAAAGAGTAAAGGCAACGAATAAGCACACCGACACTGAAGGTTATGAATTATTATTCTTTTAATTTCACATGGTTTAAAATACGATATGAAATAAGGCTACAGTATATAAAAAACTCTCCAGCAAAATGATGTGCCAGCATCAGCAATTAAAACAAAACCAATCCCCTCCTTCTTTAAGAATTCAATGTAGGAGGGACTTTTTTTTTGTATCCTTTAAAAAAAACCAAACCAAAACAAAACACAACACACGGACACACACACACACCGCTACATCTCTAAGCTACCTCAGCTCAGTTTTTTTAAAAAGCACCTGCTTTTTCTTTTTTTTAATCTCGCTTTTAAAATTTTTTTCCACTTTTAAAAAATATAAATTATATGAAAATACAAGTTGGAAAATAGTCGAACAGCACAATATAACAATCTCTTTTTTCTTCTTCTTCTATGTTTATCAGCTTAAAAAAAAATCCCATGTGTAAAAACAAAACAAAACAAAACAAAGACTTTTTCTTTTTTTTTCTTTTTTTTTTTTTTTTTTTTACTGAGGCAGTTAATTCCTGGAGATATTCCATTATAACATATACGTATACATAGATTTATCATTTATTTAAACCTCTTTGGAATGTAGACAACAGCTCACGGATGTTATATAGACCCTACCAGAGAGCAGAGCACGCCAAGGCATCCCAATGTTGCGACGTTAAGGATGAACAAGCAACCAAGCCCGAAAGCCTCGCAGAAAACCCCTCCAGAAAAGCAACAGGCAGAAGACGGAGACGTTTCCCGCAGCACCTGAATTTATCGGTGCTTACAGGGACCTTGTTTTTTTGGAGGTGGTGGTTTGGAAAGATGTGAGAAGGTTCAGTCTTACAATATCTTTTATTTCTTGCCCTGTTTGGCTGTTTCGCCACCTGAACGATCGCGTCTGGAGCGGGACGGCGGTAGTGTGGAAATAAAATGGATCTACACTTGCACGCACACGACTGTCGATGGGTTACGGCCATCCTACACACAGAGATGGAGAGAGACAGGCAGCAGAAAAAGTGCTTGCATTTTTCATCAGTTTGGGGTATTTTTTCCTTTTATTGAGGCCCCATATATCGACTGCCGAGGCCCTGGAAAGCTGTTTGCAGAGCTAAGCTCCCAAGGTAGGGCTCAGGCTTTGCTGGAGGGGACGAAGGGGACATGCCCCTGCATGGAGAACAGCAGATCACGAGCAGAACACAGAAAATATCCCAAAATTACCGAACGCACCTGAGACATTCCAAAACAAGACAAAATTACCCCATTTCCAAAAGCCACCTGTATCTGCCGAGGGTGAGGCTCAGCCCCACGCAGAGAAACCAGCACAGGAGCGAGTCCCATCCCCAGCAGATCTCCATCATCCCTCTCAAACCCATCCTTCTGGTCCAGCACGTGAGCGCAGCTTAACCAAATTTTCGTGGCCTTGAAGAATAGGAGGTCAGAGGGTTTGGGTTCCATCTGGTTCAGCACATCCCTTGCCAAAAGTTAACAGGCAATTAAAAAGCAGAAAGAAATAAAAAAAAAAGGAAACAAAAACAAATCTGCAAATTTCCAGTGTATAAACAGCGCACAGCCCTCTCTGGGATGGTCTCTAGAACGGGAATAAAAAGTAAAGGAAAATAGAAAATGATGAACCTGACGTCCCTAGGATTGTACTGCCCTTCTCCTGCTGCACTTGCACACAGGCTGCGAGCTGGGATGGCAAACGGCTGGGAGAAACGATGGAGAAGCTCCAGCCAGGGGCTACTTCCAAAAACCAGAGCTGCTTTCCACAACTCGCCCTTTCTAACCTTTAAACCATCTTCCCAAAATCACTGGGCATGCACAGGCTGGGCTCGGAAATCTGGGAAAAATACGCACGGCGGAGTGAACGAGGGATTTAGCCTGGGAGAAGGATGGGGCTGGTACCCGAACCTGCGGTTCCTTCTCTCGGAGGGGAATTTTATCCCTGTTTTCTGCTTGAAAAAGGCACTCTGTTTTCTTTTCCTCTCTCCAGCTCGGCCAAGCTGCTTTCTCCCCTCCGCCCTGTCTGCCCGAGGAGATGAGCTGAATTGTAACCTCCCAGCGGGCGGTGTCCCATTCCTCCTTTGGTGCATGCTCCTTCCACCTTCTTTCCATCCCCTTTTCCTTCCTTTCCGTCCATCCCATCCTTTTCTTTCCGTATGCTCAGTGGGATGATGCGCAGCCCCAGCCCCATGAGCTAACAGCATAACCCCTTACCTAAACCACCATCTGCTTCCATCCCCCTTGGCTGGAGCTCCCTCTTGGCCTGCTCGTTTCCCCTCCACCATCATCTTCTTTTAAGCACGCAGCAGTTTTGGGGCTGACTCACCCCAAAATGACCAACTGGGGATACAGAGGTGCTGGGTGTCCCCAGCTCCGGAGGAAGCAGAGGAGAGCCCAGCACCTCTGAGCATCACCTTGCCCCGGGGTCGAGCTCCCCATCCGACTCTGCCCTTGCGCAGGGGGGTTACGTGCCCGAATATTTCAGCTCTTTGCACGCAGAGTCCCATCCTGCCAACCCGATACATCGGCCTGGATCAGGCAGGCATCGCCCGGCGAGCATCTCTAGAAAGTCTCTCCCCAGCTCACCCCCCACTACCATCTCACAGCGCCTCCGTAATGAACGCAACTACCTAAAACACACAGATGGACAAACAACACAAAAAGAAGGTACTTTTGGTTCAAAAGCATAATACTGTCTTTAAAAAGAAAACGCCCAGTGGTTCTCAGGGGCGAAGGACCCCATTTCGGCAGTCGGATCCGCACGAATCCGGCTTCGGGGTGCTATCTGGCTACAGAAACGCTCGCCGCCTGATCCTCTAACTCACGCGGAGCCCACCCCGAAGGCGGTCGTCAGCCTCCATCTGCTCAGAGCATCCCGGGAAGTGCTCAGCGCAGCAGGATTTACCCCTCTGAACGCAAACCACGCCGCAAAAGGTTTGGAGGGCAGACGGGGCAGCTCCCCCCGGGACTGATCCTGCACCCGTCTCGGGCGGGCACATGAGACCTCTCGTTTACCCCGCCAACACCGCTCATATGCTTCATGTTAATCACACCCTGACGGGGTTTGCAGGATCAGGCTTACAAAGAGCAGTAAAGAACCCATTTGCAAGGACAATTTCCTTTCTGCGTGTGCCCAGGCTGGTTAAGACATACAGCTATAAAGATAGAGCTGGTCGAAACAGGAAGGAAAAGACATTTCCCTTTGGTTTTTCAACTTTTTCCTGATTTTTTTCCCCCCAATCAACTTATGTATTTTCCATTTACCACATTCAGAACATGGGAATCTCTCCCCTTTCCCCTCAAAAAAAAAAGAAAAAAAACAAACCCAAATTTTCTGAAAGCACCGAAGTGTTCCTTGAGCAAAAAAGTGATATGGAAAAAGCAAAAAGACATTTTCCCCGTAAATCTTAATAGGTTTCATGCACAAAACACAGCCACACCAAAAAAAAAGCGGAAATTTCAACCAGCTTTATCAGCAAACGGTGGAGCAAAGCGTGTGGGACTGGAAGCAAGAGCGGCACACCCAGCCAGCATCACTAGGAGCCAGTTTGGAATTACATTTTCCTTCACATACGATCCGGAGATGCCGAGTCGTAGCGCTACACTTCTCCAGTGGGGTCTACATAAACTAATTTGTTTGTTGTTTTTTTTTTTTTTCTTTTTCCTCACTGTGATAAAACTCTCTGCTGGCATAACAGAAACAAACACACACAATATTGCAATACTGAGACCATCTTAGAGCTTAAGACTATTTAAAAAAAATACTGGCACAAAATTTAATAAAATAAAACTTTAACAATTTAAAAAAAAAAAAAAGTCTTGATCCCTCCTAGCAAAAATTCTGTCTTTTGTAGAAAAGACGACAACCGACAGAAAGGCGATGTAACAAGAACGACAAACAGTTCTTGGTTTTTTCCTATATTGCCCCTCCCCGAAGCAGGAATATTCACCCACTTTGGTTTTCCCTCCCCGCCCTCCAAAAAAAGATTAAAATCCTCAAATCCTCGGGAACACTGTCATTTCCTGAACTGTCAGTTTGTGTGCGAATAACACAAAAACCGAAGGGATCCACTTGATAATATTTTTTCTAAACAGCAAGGGATGGGGAGGGGTTTGGTTTTTTTAAGTGAGCTACATTTTTTCTGGCTTTCTTAAAACTCAGAATTTCACCCCAAAAAAGCCTGTCTTGGAGCTTTCAGGAAAAAAAAAATAGCCCATCCTTCTCCGAACCAAACTTGTTAGGTTTCGGCCAAAAGTTTGCCTCTTCCGCCACCCTCTCTCCCAACATCCTCAAAGCATCAAATCTGAGTTGCTCTTTAAAAAAAAAAAAATAACGAACAACAAAAATAACCACAAAAAATAAAAAAGGACCAACAGAAAAAGTCCCATCAACTCTCCAAAATGACACGGGGTGATCCTCCGCCCCGGCCGGCCGTCTTCACTCATCGGCATCCGGCTTGACGTCCAGCATGGCGTGGAGCTCCTCGGGCGTGTAGCCCAGCAGGCTCTGCAGGTCGCAGACGAAACGGTAGACGTAGCGTTTCCCGGCCGTCTTGTGGATGATGTTCTTGTCGTAGTAGTAGCGCAAGCCGCGGCTCAGCTTCTCGTAGTTCATCTTGGGTTTGTTTTTCCTCTTGCCCCATCGCCTGGCCACCTGGGAGAGGGGTGGGAAGAGTCAAAGGGGGGAATGCATGTCGCAGGGAAGGGAAGGAAAAGTCTTTCTGGCTTGGTTGGGCAGCCATCGGCAAGCAGCAGTGCTGGACACGAGGGAAGGGACTTTCCTCATCTTTAAGATGGGCACAGATGGGTCACAAGCATTAAAGTTTGGGAAAACCAACCTCCAGGCAATGGCAGAACATTGCAGAGGACTCTATGAGGAAGGGAAGGGAATGAATGTCCCATCTGTTCCCCAAAATCATTGGGAAGCCCCCCCCCCCCCACCTGTACACATCCTATTTGAAGAGCTTTGGCGCTCTCTCGGGTGTTTCACGTACTTCACACCACCTTTGGGCGCAAACTACTGCTTCCTAGGTATTACTGCAGCCCAATTTTTAACAAGTTTTCATCTGGGCTCTAACTCATTGTTTTTCCC